GCTGTGTCTTCAGTCCTATCTGGATGATGACAAATGAGCCTGTTAAGTCTTCCAATCCTCCAAACATGTAGATGTCTCACAGTACACTTGCCTTCGTGTGCTCATGAAATTACAGAACTTTCTCTTGCCTTGTTTTTCTAAACAGACCAGGATTCCCAGGCTGGTAAAACGATCTTGCCTCTTTCAAAGAGAGCTGCTTTACGCAGCTTTCATTTTCATAGTTCATTACATATAATCATTTAATGTGTGGTACTTAAATCCCTTCTACAGTTGACATTGTATAGCAAATGAATGTAATCTATAGGAGCCATTTACTTAATTATTTTATTTGAATATTGCACAAATGAAAAGATAAGGGAGGTAGACATTTAACTGCTATATAAATTAATAGAATGCCATTATTGGTCCTTTTTTATATTGGAGCAAAATCATTATATGGTAATCATCACTAGAGGTGATAGGCAAATGGGGGCTTCATGTAAGCTCCACAACTGAGCAATTTAGATAATACAACAGAAAATCCAATATTGCTCCCAGCATTAACTATTCAACGTAGCAGGAAGCAAGGTCTTCTCTTTGCTTTTCACAATTAATCTTGGCCATAACAGGCAGTGTGCTCTTTACCAGCCTTGGGCTCTGAATTTGATTTTTAAAACTTCAACAGTAATCCTGAAATAACTAGGCATCAAGAAATTGTCTTCCTGTTCTGAATGCTTCATCATAATTTACATTACATCTGTAACTGGCTAACGCCACTTACCTTGCAAGAGCTTTTCAGATTTATGACGGCAGAAAAAGGGTGGTGGTTGGGGAACACACAACGCACAAATGAGATCTAGAAAAGCACACGATAACTGTGAAAACAGCCCATCCATCATCCCCACATTTTGATTCGGAGACAGGAATGGAAGGTGCTGTTTCCACACCACTCACCCTGCACGCACGCACGCACACACACACACACACACACACACACACACACACACACACACACAGGTTTGCTCCATTGAGAACACAACTGAAACTGATTGATTAGCTGCAAGAGAAAAATCAATACAAATATCCTAGAAAACACTAGTCTGTGAATTTAATCTGGCCCCAACAAAGTCCTGATCACTGTTTGGCATGTTTTTCTAGATGTCTAAAAATGTGGCTACAAGGAACCCAGCAATCCCAGCCCAGGGACCACAGCTAATCCGCATAATTTCATTAAAAAGAAAAAAAAAAATCCTGCCTCAGCAGAGAAGAGGCAGGGAGAGCAATTTCCCAATACACAAAAGTAGATCTATGTCAAAATGACAATGACTGAGGTGAGTGAGAAGAAAAGGAAAGCAACTAAGGAAACAACTAAATATACACATGCTATATATACAACAGGAATGAAGGGTTCTATTTAGGAAATATAAGCTCGACTTCAAAGCTGCCCACTCAAAAGTTCTTTAGTGCTCATTTGGCAGGTAAATTCAGAAGCAGCACATTCAACACTATAGGAGGCCATTTTATTCAGAATGGTTCCCTGAGTAATTTATTCTCTCTTCTGAGTGCTGCTTGCCTGTCAACTGGCCTTTAGTTTGCACATTTACAATGGAGATAGGAGATATTTTGTATTAATATTTCATGAATATGCTTATCATATGTTCTATTACATGACAAGAAGCCTGGGTTCTAATCCTTGTCTACACAAGTTTAGTTTTTTGGTTTGTTGTTTGTTTGTTTGTTTGTTTGTTTTTGTTTTTTAAATAGGTTATATTATTGGCACACAGAAGTCATTAAACAAAAGTTAAAAAGGAAAGAAAGAAAATGCCACTGAAACAGACTGTAGTGACAAGTATCTGCAATTCTAGCACTTTTTAGGCAAAAGCTAGAAGATTATTACAGATTTGAGGCCAGCCTGGTCCACATAGCAAGGTCAATGACCCAAATAGCAAGACCTTGTCTCAAAACAAACAAACAAACAAACAACAACAACAAAAAAAACAAAAAACAAAAAAGAGAGCCAAAAGAAAGGGAGGGAAAGGCTTATAGCTCAAAGAACATGAGTTATTAAAGAATCAACAAAAGTCGTAGAAATATCAAAATGTGACATTTCTTCCATTATGTTTCCTGTAAAATTATCATTTGTGATTTGAAAATGCAGACTTTAGAATTCTATGAGACTCTTAAAGTTTCAAGGTCTTATGCAGAAACAAACCCAACCAATGAGTTTATATTTGATATTTCTTAGGATGAGATGAAAAAAAATGCATTTTTCAAACTCAGAAAATGAGAAGTGACTGTCATATTTACATAGTTCACCTATAGAGATTTTACTCTTAAAACATATTTTAAAGCAAAAATAAAGCCTACACCTGCTACAGATGTTACAATGTTTTACCCAAATTATTTTTCCCCCTTGGATTGATTTTAAATTCCTTTACTGTAAGTAACCTATCTACTTCATTCCCTTTCACACAGCCAACAACTTATACATGTCTAGAATTATACAACTGATAATGCTAAATTGGCAGTGAGGAGTCACTCCAGCTTGCAGAGGTCAGATAGCCTTTTCAGATCACCTGGCCAGAGCAGTGTTTTAAGCTCAAACTGCCTACAGCAACCCTCCTGCACACAGTGGTTCCCTTAGCAAGGTATGCATGACCTCAGTGCTATAGCAACAAAGAAACATGGCAGTCAAATGAGTCACCAACCTAAGAGCAGGGTCTAGGTTTCAACTCTAAGATACAGATAACAAGATAATAAGTTTCAAGGCTACATTTCAAACATCCAGTTCAGAATGAAAATAACACACAAATAAATAATGGCAATGATGGCACGATCTCCTGGAACTTTCTTCATATGCCACAGCTAACTGTTGCTAATCTTGGATAAGCTGAGTCACTCCTCATCACTAGGCCAGCTTTGCACAGCTGACACTACCAAGGAACCACAGAAGAAACTGCCTCGTGCTGCTGCTCAGACAAGAAATCAGACTGCTGAGCTGGAAGAGATTACAAACGTTCCCTAACCAATTTATAAAATCCATGTTCCTTTCTCTTTAATTATTTATGAGACACAAGTGGGTTCATATAAAGTCATGATGCAATCCTATCAGAAGTAAGGATCAACAATGAAAGAATAAAGACAATTCTTCACTTCCTGAACCATCATTTTGTAGTTTTATATTTTTCATTTTTATCAAGTAAAATGAGATAGGTTTCTAAAAATCTGTGAAATTTCAGAATGTTGAGTACTGCTTCCTACAACTTCTAATTAAAAGAGGTGCATTGCAGAATATTTGTTTAACTATGCAAAGATGTGTTGTATTTGTTTGACTATGTAAAGTGCTGCATTTGTTTATGTTGTGGAATATTTGTTTAACTATGTAAAAGTAAAGATGTGTTGCATTTGTTTAATTATATAAAGATGTGTTGCTGTTTTACCTTGACTGCCTAAGGCACCTGACTGGCCTAAGAAAAAGGTGAACTGCCAATATCAAGAGAGGCGGTACAGGTACAACTTCCAGGCAAAGAAAGTAAGTAGGAGGAGAAATTTAGGCCCAAGAATGAAAGAAAAGGAGACAGCAAAGAGATGCCAGGGACCAGGAAGATACAGAAGAAGCAGGAAAGGACAGAAGGAAGGGGAGGGAAGGAGGGGGGGAGGGAGTGAGGGAGGAAGGAAGGAAGGAAGGAAGGAAGGAAGGAAGGAAGGAAGGAAGGAAAGAAGAAAGGAAGGAAAGAAGGAAGGAAGGAAGGAAGGAAGGAAGGCAAAATGTAGATGGAATATAAACTGGTTAAATTAAGTTGAAAGAGCTAAGCTAAAGCTGAGAATTCATAATTAATAATAAGTCTCCATGTCTTTATTTAGAAGCTGGTTGGTACAGCAAAGAAAATTCCAACTACAGTAGTTGATACATATATCAGACACACTTAAAATCCCCATCATCAGACAGAAACATGGAAAGGCAAGCACCAGTTAAAAGCGCCAGACAGGATGACCAGGTGCATAAATAAAGGCTTCTACCCAAACTCTTGCCTCTTCTGAAAAATGCTCCCAGGAATCTTGCTGAAGAAAAGACAATCTCCCAGAACACATAAAAATCTAAACTAAAAACAGTGTTATCAAGAACCAACAAGCTGCCTTTGTTTCTTATCAGCACTTGTTGAATGTGAACATGGAAAAAGAGTAAGTTAAAAATAAACGGTTAAAAAATTGGTTTTTATGTCACCACGGCTATGCTTTACTCTATTGCATGAAACAATCCACATTCGTGTTGATAAAAGCTTTAAATAGACTGAATAAAGAAATGTGTTTGGAATGCAAATATTATAACATTCAGAGTTTGAGTACTGAACACAGTTTTCCAAGTTACTTGCTAAAAGGAAAAGTAATTGCCAGTAACTATTAACCCACAAGATGGGGAGACAATAGACTAACTGCAAGTTGGGTGTAAAAACATACCACTGTTATATGCACAGATTAAAATAAAGACAAAGGAGGAAGGTCATGGTCTAAGCAGTTATGTGTCAAAACAACTGTGATTCGTGGTAAAGATAAGCTTTACTATTTGCTCAGGGCAGGAGGTATGATTCAGAGGGCAGAAAGCAGCCCAGAGGACTGATCCTCTCAGGGCTCTCCCCAGTATCAGTACTCCTCAACCCACAGCTGTGGGTTTTCACAAAAACCCTAACAAATTTCAGAGTTGTGTGGATGAGTGATTGACTGATTTCTTTCTTTCACTTATTCATCTCTTATTTTCCCTTTACCATACATATCTATATATGGGTGATGCTGCAATGTGCTGTTTGCCTGAGAGTGGTTACATGGAAAAGTCATAGAGGACCATAATTAAAATAAATATGGCTTGGATGATTAATTTGATACTATCCTCTGTTAGCTGAGCAGACCCATTTAAACTTCAGACAGTTAAAGAAACTGGAACCTTTTTAAAAGGAAGCATTGCTTAGAAGATGAATATGACTTCTTGAGAGACTGATTTCATACATAATTCTAGAATCTCTTACCTTGAAAGGATTGCTTGGCTCTCTCTACAAGTTCATCAATGGGATAGCTGGCCAGGTTTCCTCTGGCATGTTTAGTTTTGCAGTAGGTACAAGCATTGAGACACCTGTTCAAATGATGGCAATAAATAAGGCTCAAAAACTTTAAGACACGGCATACATAAACTGATAGGCAAAACAGTGCACTGACATTTTAGTAACATTTGCTTAATTTATATGAGATACAAAAATAATTATCTACATGATTCATATTTAACTTCCATGAGGAGCAGAATTGGGAATCCTTGTGACTTTTAACTGTGAGAGAATGATCACAGAAAGCCACAGATTATCCTGAACACACACATCTACATGGAGAAAAATTTATAAATACTTTAAATGATTAGACACACATATCTAAGAAAACACAAATTTATAAACCTCAAAATTAATCAAACGAAATTCAAAACACAGCACTTTGGGGGGGGGGGGTTACACTACCAGTAATTGGGGGGGGGCAGCTATCAAATAACTAGAAAAATTTTAGTATTAACTTATATGCAGACTTTTAGGGATATTATTATATTCATTGAAATTTTAACTGATGATTTAAAAATGAATGAATAGGCAACAGCATTTGTATCAGAAGATTTTAGATTATTTTTCCCTCCATGGAAAACTATTAAGATGCTCCCATGAGCATTTTGGGAGTTACATCAGCAGTGAAAACAAACAGGACAACAATAGTACCTGAGAGACATGAGGGGGGGAGTTATTATTGTCCATACTAGAATATTGAGACCTTTAGCTTTGAAATACAATTTAAATAAAAAAAAATACCAAATAAAAGAGACAATTCTTAACATATGAACAAATGAAGAACCCTGAAAAAACAAAAATTGTCTCTCCTCAGTGTCCAGCATCCACTATAAGGAATAAGACCCTCAAAAGACCATTATTACACAAATGTTTCAAGTATTCACATTATAAACATCAGAGTTTGATAAATGAACAGCACAAACATGATTCTGCCAGTATATACCTGTGAGATATGTATGAATCACTCTCCTTAGTAGTCAAACCAACAAGGATTAATGTCTGATAGTTTTGCATATAACTCTACGGAATAGTAACATTGTACATTTTGAAATGTACTTTACTATTTAAACAACCACTGATCACTAAGTTTCAACACTGTTCCTCCCAAGCAATTTACATTTAATTTTAAAAATTGGGAGCCTTTTGTAATTTTGGAAGAATGATACTTGGCTTTGCTGTCCACAGAGAATAACCCTTCTGTTTCCTCCTGACTAAGGAGAAATCTGTTAGATTAGGCACACAGGAGTTCCTTTAGTCATGTCTGTGCAGGGAGATGGGGACAGGGCATATTATCAACAATATCCACCTCAAAAAGTAAGTCTCCCAAAGTTATAGAACAGCTCTTGTTCAAGTCCAGGCTTGTCAGATTTCAACTTTATAGTTATTCCCTATGACCATGCCCTTGGAAAAAAATGTACATCAAACATCCTTGGGGTGGAGTGATAGAGTCTATGTTTAACAGAAATGACACTCTGTGCTCCATTTCTAACATTCCAGCATCAAAACCAACAAACACACACCCAAAACAACAATAGCAGCCATCCTTGAAACATACAAAGAAAGACGGTCCTCATCCAGCAGGAGCTAAGGTAATGCAGCATAATTTGACAGCACTTATTCTCCTCCATAAAACCATTTGTTTGAAATATGCATTTCTCTGCTTTAGTTTTGAGGGATCTGAAGTCAGGTTTCCTGTCTGGACTGGCCCATGCTTGTACTTTGCATTCCTGCTGTCGTCTGTTTTCTGTTTCTCATCTTCTAGCTGAGTCTATGGGTAAAATGTATCACCTCATATGACTTGTTCTGTTTCAAATTCTGGAACTCAATTCCCAGTGCTGTTCTGGGTACACTGGGAGGCCAGTGTGCTCTCCTTCTTTTCCTCAAGTGTTCTCATAGACCTGGGATTCCCCTCTGATTGCCATTCACTGAAATCAGCACTGTTCCAGGCAAGCTGCCACTTCAAGCTCTAATGCTACTTCAGGGACCATGCTCTCCTCTTCTTTGTCCCTTCTAGATGAAGGGTACTGAGAAATCAACGGACAATCTTGAGAAAAGCCACTAAGACTTCTGACTAGCGTTGCTTCTTACAGGGTCAGAAGGGGAAATGGGAAGTAGGGAAGGGAAAGAAATGTTTTAAACAAAACGTGGGTGCACTGATACAGGTGAGCCATGTAAAAAAGATTTTACTGTTGGTAAATTTCAAGTACCAGTCACAAGGTATTTTGTACAACTAGTGTTAAGTAAAATTAAGGAAATGTATTAAGTTTAGATTACCAGGTGACAGATATGTCAAACTCTGTAGAACAGCTTAGCTTAAAAGCAGGTGTGGAAACCAAATTACATTTTCCTACTGTCTTATTCAATAACAGCAGAGGCACAGCCTCTCCAAGTGAAAGTGTTTATGAAAATGTACTAAAAGTGGAAATAAGTGATATTCCAAAACAATTCTAATAGTCATAAAGCTAGGAAATATAAATACTACATTAGGAATTCAAAATACTCTTCACTCAACTGTCCTGCCTCAATCGTTGATGAGACATTTTTGGGTTTTAAATTTTCATTTACAAGATAGATTTTAATTCTCATAAATTCCTCTGTGTGTGTGCTTACCATTGATAGTGACCTTAAACTTAACAATTCCAAAGTGCACATTTCGGCAAACATGGCACAACAGAACCAACTCAGGTAGTAAGTCTTATGTCTAACTAATAGGAGGGGTCTATTACAGAGAAAAAACACAATGCTAAGGCAGAGAAGAATGAGCTTTTTGATGTTTCAAAACTTTTTTTTTTTTTTTTTTTTTTTTTTGCAGTCACCAGGAACTGTGTTGACCAATAATTTCAACACTTCAAACCTCCGTTAAAATAAGGGAATTCATAATAGACAGTTTCAATTGTCCTTAAGCAATTAAACAATTGTCCAAGAGTAAGAATTCTGAGCCAGTTTCTTCAACTGTCAGAAAACAAAAGATCTTTGAAGGCTCACTGCTGAAAGCCAAAACCAAACTTAGGTGGCCACTGAAGTACAAGATGCAGGAAACCCTCCACAGACCCTGGCTGTGGTGACAGAAGAGAAAGCCCAACACACCTACACATTTTGTGAGCTGGCTGTTGGCCAAGATACACTAACAGGCTCAAGAGCAGAGAGAGATTAGACTGAACTCAACAGTACAATCCCAAGACCAGAAAGAGCATGTGTGATAGAATATTTTTAGATTACATAAATTAAACAAATGAAATAACAATGAAAGTTCAAAAATCATGACATCCCAAAAGATTGCAACACAAGAAAATATGCTAACTCAATATGAAACCATTTGAAGCAAATCAAAACAACCCATAGCACCATCTTTTCAAGACCTTAGATACTGTAAGTTCTCCAGTAATTTACAAGCATAGTCACACTGTAAAAACATAGCCCATATTATCTGTTTTAAATATTGAGAAAGCTAACATGACTTAAGCTCCTGCTTCTCCTTGCTTCTTGGTCAAGAATAAATTTGAATATACAATACCTATTTAAGAATAAAGCATTAAGACTGAAGTATTAATTACCAAAATAAGGCAATGCAGTCCCTCCATATACTTTAATCCTATCTTATTTTTAATCAGTTGGTAGAATATAAAATCTTTTTAGAAGCTTCAAATGTGACAAAATAATAAGCTCTTAGGGATAGCTAAGTCTTGGAAAAGCTACACTGTTATCTGGCTGTCTTCTTCTATACTGAGGTATTATCATGCAAAAGAAAAAGAAAAATCTAAGAAAGAAAATGTTTGAAGGATATAGGTGAGAGAGACTTAGCTGTTGATAACATCTATTGTGCCTCCTCAACAGGATTTTAAAGAATTTTTCCAAAGAAAAATAACCAAGTGTTTGAACTATTAAGCAAATACAGGAGACACTATCAGCAGATTGATGAGGTCTTCAGGGGGAAAATAAAATGCTGGTTTGCCAAGGCTGAAACCCTAAGCAAAGGAAATGGAGCACCAGAAACACAGCAGAAGTGAGGCTCCAGAATAAGGACATCTTCAACCTTCTGAGAGCAGGACTCCCAGCAGAAATGATGCCTTCCACCCTTATCACTGACGGTCTGTTCTCTAAAAAGCCTGAGCTCCCAGGATAACTCAGCATCATCTTCAATTGTGCCCTATCATTACTTCCCTCTCCTGTGTATAAAAAAAATTAGATTATAGAGGCTGCACCTCCATTCCCCTTACTTCATCCCTATTAGCTCCATTCTTTGCATCAAAGGGATAAATTAATGGATTTTCACTTCCACGGATTTCAACTCCATTTCTTTCACCTGAAAGGATTATTCCTATGGCTAGTACCCATCTACTCCCATAAAATTCAAGATCTTTAAAATAAATTTGGTAGGAATAGCAGATGATAATAACAAGAGAGGATTACTGCATGCTTGCCAGACACTGTTAGGCATTTTACATAATAAAGAGGCAAGATGAATTATCTGGATCTTTCATAAAGGCAACTAAGCTCAAAAGGATTATAAATTGTGCCTAAAGCGACAGAGTTAAGTCAGACTCAATTTCTTCCTCTCTTCTTTCTGTGATGCTGGACACCACACCCAGGACCTCAAACACATTAAGCTTGTACTATTATAACTCCAGTCCTAGACCCAATCCATCTTATCAGAAATATCCACAGCACAAATTGTATTCTGTGCTGTTCTAATGACGCAAAAACTAAGTCTCTGTGAGAATACAGACTGACAGTATGAGACTTTAAAAACCTTACAGTTGGGGGAGGGGGAGATGGTGAGATGCCTTACTGAGCAAGAGTTCTTGCTGCACAACAGAGGGGACTTTAGTTCAAATCCATAACACTGATATAAAAAAACAAGGTATAGCTACCCATGCAACTATAAACCATGTAGTATGGCAGGACAGAGACAGGAGGCCTGCTAAAGATTTGGGCCCCAAGCTTAGCTCAGGTTCATTGAAAGATAGCATCTGAATGGCATAAGGAAGAGGCTTATAAAATCAGACGCTCTGGTCTTTACATGTGCCCA